TGGCAACCATTTTGATAAACGATTAATGTAATGTAATTGTAACAGCTGTTTTGACAGGTATTGCAATACCTGTCAAGATTTTCTTTATTGGAAGAAAATTTGTTATTCAACTTAAATGTTGACATTTGTATAAAGAATATGCAATTATTCCATCAAATTCTGTTAACACATCTTAAATTCTTGTTACATCTGCCCCTGGGGCATCAGCTTCAGCCACTCTCTCTCTGTACCTCTCCCCCTGTGATTTTGTGATTGTGTGTAGGTACACCAGAGTCAGGACAGAACTTCAAGCTACAACTCAACTCTGCTCAGCCATCTCCATATTGCCAGATTGTAGATTCTGCTAACAGTAAATTACAGTTTCTTTTTTGCTTTTGATACCTTGTGTCAGCTTCCCCCTACTTTGTTTGGATAATCAGCAACTAATCAGCTTGAATATTTCTGGACTCTGGATCAGCACACTCGGACTCCTTCTACCCAACTAAGCTCCCAACTTTCTGCTTCAGTTCCTAATTCCAGACAGAGTATTTCTTTAAGCACCTGGTTTCTTTCAGTCTGTTTTTGTATCTCAGTGAAAACGCTGAAGGCAAATCCTCACCTTGTAAACAATGCCAGCGATCGTGGTCCCTGTCTTTCTGGCAATGGGGGCTTTGTAGCCAAGTTCTGACAAACTGGACTCCAACACTACATTCCTGGAAGGAAGGGAAGGAAGGAAGATAGGAAGGAAGATAGGAAGGAAGGAAGGAAGGAAGGAAGGAAGACCGATAATATTTTTCAAAAACAGCAGTTAAACAGTTGTGCTTCAGTTGAAAAATTCCAATCCATATCCAAACTCATATGGGTATGACATATATTGTGATTTTATGAATTATATATAATTTATATAATTGAGTGATTAATGTCTTGTCTTTGGTAAAAATAAATGCATTATATTTTATGAGATTATCATATTTTGGATGGCCATACATACGTACATTTTACTTACATTTATACTAATTACATGTGTTCTACAAAAACATTTTAAGTCTGCTTTTAAGAGACAAAATTCCTGCTTTATCTGTATATTTGTTTAGAAAACAAGTTGCCTTCGTTGATCTATTCATAGCTTTTATCATTTATCACAGAAATGTGCTTTGTTGAAAGTAAATATTTTCTACATGGATCTCCCCTTTCAACTGAATGCCTGCTGTTGATAATGCACTTACCGTCAACAGGTAAAAAGTTACTAAAACTCTGAGTTGATTTGAGAAAAATTAATACTTTTACTTCAGTATTTTTCAACACCAGTAGATTTACTTGTAGTTGAGTAATATTTTAGAAATGTAACAGTACTTCTGCTTGAGTACAGATTCACAGTACTTCCACCACTGCTGCAAAATGTATCCAGACATGAAGTAAAGGGTTGGAATCAGACCTGGGCCACTGCAGTGAGGACTTGTACATGGGGTGCACCCCCAACCAGGTGAGTTGCCAGGGCACCCCAAAGAATACTTAACTGAAATATTCTTTCATAAAGTTAAGAAAGCAGTGTTTTGTGTACCTTTGCAGAGTCATATTGGTGCACAATCCACAAAGATTTTTTTTCCCCTGCTCATAAATTCATGATATTGGCCATCAGAAATCATTGAATCTTTCCCCTTTTTGACAAAATTACTATTGTCACAAGAATCAGTTAGGCTCTAAAATTAATGTTTAGCTAACAAATCCGCTACATGTGACTCCATGTCATAACACTGTAATAGATGGTAATATTAGAACTTTTGCTCTGCTTCAGTCAGAGAAACTAAAAGATTTGGGGCTTTTGAGAAAACATTTGGGACTGGAGCCCAATAAGCCACCCCTTGCTCTTGCACTTTAGGCAGTTATAGCTACCACTGTGGTAACCAGGGTTTTTTTCTGGAATCTTAGGGCCTTTATTTGACATGTAACTTGATTGTAGTATTGATTTCTTAAATTTGAAAAATGTAAGCCCAATAAATTAATGAAAAAGTAAGTGTTTCACCAACAAAATAATTTTGGCTTTATATCAACATTTAGATTTCCTTGTTGGAAAATCAAATTACAATCACAGTCAATGTCATTCAAAGTATAGCTGTCTAAGACTTGGACATGGATGATTTCAGTATTTCTAAACTCCATGCTACAGCCCTATATGAACTTAACCGTGTTGGTCTCTGTGCCACAAAGACTGTCAAAGACACAATAATGCCATGGTGACATTAAGGTTACTACAGGAGACAAAGAATGATAACAAAACTTATACATTCACTAGAGAGCAAGACAGAAAAAGACACACTATAGTATACACCTATTTTAACATTATAGTATTTCCTCCTGAGCACCATTTTAGTCTCAGTAAAAATCGATAGAGTGCTTCTTTACCTGCGGCTGTTTTCAAAGCAGAAACCTCCAGTCTGCAGCTCACAGTGCTCCAAACTGCGAAACATCTTCACTTTGAAGACAGAAGAGATGAGAATAAAGTTGATACCTGATTCTGAATCGAAGATAAAAAGCGTCAGTCTGTGTGTCAGCGCTTTTTACAGGTTGCTTTTGCTTTCGTTTCTTCAGCACAGGCCAAACCTTCCTGCTCTACACTGTAAAAAATATCTACATTGACCAGACATTTATTCTGATATGAGTGTTAAATGGTGATTTTTTTTTACCAAAAAGCCACCGGTCAGAGGAGTTAACAAATCCCCATTTTCCCCTAGATTAGTTCATTTTAATACTTTCTTTCTGAAGCAAGACTCAAAGATGATTTTGAATAAAAGAGGTATCTACACCTGTAAGTAAATAAATAAAACAACCCTCCATGTGGCACCATTAATGGAATAAGCTGATTTGTATGAGAGAAAACAGACATCTCTTTTTTCTGCACTGGCCATTATGTCACATTATGTTACGAAAATAAACTATTATAAGACTCATGAGCCACTAAAATTTACTGATACTGATATTTCTTGCAGTGTATTCAAATTTGACAGTGTTAAGATGGAACCTGATTCATGGACGCCTAAAATGTCGGCTAAGGTGCCACAAAACAAACTAACTTTATGTTAACCATCTAGTTTCACTTTTCTCCTTGGTTTTTAAAAATAAGTCCAACCCCTAACGTAAGCAAATTTGTAACAGATTACAATTATATCACACATACTGTCACATTTTGGTTCAAAAACAGATTAGCTGACTGGGACCAGTCAACACATGATAACACTGCATTGTGTAATAACCAGGCACCCACATTTTGTAACAATATGCCACAAACAGCACAAACAAAATCTGTAATTTATTTTGTAATAAATAATGACATATAGTGGTGGTTATAACAAAATGTAAGAGTTTCACTTTTTATGATGAAAAGGTAATAGGTCACAATCAACTCATCAGCAGTCACTTCAAGAACTCCAGCTCAGCAAGCCATTCATTGTCAGATTGTTCTGTCAATGTGTCATTTGGTAGTAGAGCAGTGGCCAGACTACTTTGTAGATTATTTCTAGTGAGCTTTTTGTGAACTTTTTTCCATGCTCCTTCTAACCTGTTTTTTTCTTGTGCCAACACCTCTGCTCTGCCATCACCCACATGTCAATCCAGTTAAGACCTCAGCCATTCTCCACTCTCTTCAGTGTGGCTGCCCCAGCCTTTTTCAACCCCCATTACCTTCATCCATCCTCCAAATATTTTTCAATAAATCATTTACAAACCATTTCCCCTGACTCTGTGTTTGCTTCCAGGTCTACTAAAAATAAATGTAACATTCATGCTTTTATTTCTAGCAGGATTGACTTCTGCAATGGTCTCGGGCTCTTCCTAAAGACCATCAAAAAGCTCATAGAAAGTTCATAAAAAAATGGGCAACTCACACATTTTCTAATAGCCACCACAATATAAAATTGTTTATTATAAAATGTGGAGAACTGATTACATATTGGGTTCAGGTTGTTATTATATAATTAAGTGAAAATGTATTACATTTTGTCAAGTCATTACATAATATTTGTTACAGGGCCTCCTACAAACCCACAGACTGTAGCTTCAGCCTGTTTTTTCTTTTTTACTTAAAAAAAAAAGACTCAAATAGCCAAAATAATTGTGTGTGTGTGCCAAATATGAACCAATGAATGCAGAGGAACATACTATGCACCAATGGCACCAGGACACATTCCTCGTAGGTGTAAAAACCTACTTGGCAATAAACATAATTCTTATTCTAATATCTCCATGTAGCCTGGTGGCGAGGACGAGGTTAAGAACAAGAGGAGGACAATAACATTAATGTTAACCCAGTAGCAGCAGCCACATCATGTTCAGCTGTTCCACCTCAGACAAACACACAAGAGGACCTAATGATCAGCAGGACACTGAGGCAGAAGAGAACAACAGCCCTGTGACAACAACCTTTTCAACTGCCTCACCCTCTCATCTCAATTTGAGGCCTACACCATGAAGAGTGGGTGGGTGGATGGCAGAGATCCAGTGGCAGGTAGACTAACGCTACCAGTTTAGCAGTTTATCTATCTATTTCAACCATTCTTTTAGATAACTATTTCAAACATTGAGGTCAGGTCAGGAATAGGCCTAAGTGAATAAGGGGGCTGTGTTTTCATAAATTAAAATTCATTGATTTAGCCACACCATACCAAAAGTATGTCCACTAAAAGTGCCTGTGTATGCCACTGATAGGCTCGTTGTTATTATAAATGTAAACAATATAATGGAAAGGATCCTTATTCGGAACTTTAATTGTATATTATTCACACATTGATATAGTCCTTGAGGTGTGATTTTAATTTGAGGTATATAGGTTACTCTTGTTTCCAAGGTGTTGTATTGATACAATGATAAGTAGTTGACATTGGTTGTTTTTGGAAAACATTAGGCTTTTTGTATTGCGTAAAATCCTGTATCATAAGAAATACAGGTTACATTTGCTATAGGTCTGCCTATGCAAAGCAGTACGAAATGATTACTGAATCATGGAACTGTATTGGTGGAGGTGGGGCAGTACGTAATCTGTATGCACTGATATTGTTGCGAACCTGGGAATGTTATGTACCCCAAAGTTTGAAATGTACATCTAGAAGTGTTATTGTATATCATGGCCAATTTGCATAATTCTGCTAATACATTGGAACTGGATTTTACAATCAAGAGAGCTCAATGTCATTGGTTTGAATGTTCAGACATAAAATTTCTTTGAATTTCTTCAGTTCCGCTTGCGTTTTTTTTTGCACAGTATCAGTCATTTTAGAAGTTTTAGAAGATAATAAATCGATTGGATTGGACAGAAAATGTGTAGTGATATTTACTTAGAAAAATCTTAGTAACAATTTCCACACAGAAATTCTTAGTAAAATTCACAGAGTATATTTCAAGTGACCTTTACTTATGTTTAAGACTAGTCTCTATTAAAACTTCTCAAGTAAACTTTACTAGCTATTTTCTGTCTTTGTCATTACATTTTACTCAGTCACAGAATTTTAAAAAGTTAGGAGACAGTGGCATGATGATGTATTATCTGTACAGATATTTTGAGTGCAAACAGTTAACTTCCATTACCCAAGTACACTTGCTTTTGTCAGGTTGTACATTGTTTTCATTACTTTAGATTAGATAAATACTTTATTCATCCCCAAGGGGAAATTCACAGTTTCCAGCAGTATCCACAGACTGATAATAATAACAATAACAATAATAACAACAACAGGAGGCAAAATGCAAAAGAACCAATAAAATAACCATTAAAATTATAATATAATAAATAAAATAACGAGGATTGGGTAAAAAACCGTGTGGCCCTTCAAACCGGTGTCTATGGTCAATCCCATCCAGTGCTACAAGAGATCCTCAGTATGAGTGGTTGATTAAGGATTACAGAGGACACGAAACAAGACTTTAGGACGTTTGAGAGACGAAGTTCTTTATTCGAGTGCGTTTTTGATGCAGCGACCATCCCCTTAGTGGTTGGCTAGGTGTAATATAGAAGACATCAATAGGCTGTGGTGCGAAAGTGGTATCCCATCTGATCACTCTTCGCTCTTCAAGTGCTAAGGAACATCGAGCTGTCTAGCAGCCTTGCTTCGCCTAGCACCATGCTTTCTACGTCTGTCACTGCTGTTAGATGGTGACTGTTGGCAGTGAATGCAGCTCTGATTACTATTTATTTTGGTCCTATGATTGTTACCAAAAATGTGTGAATCATCAATATGCGGAATAATTGAATATATACATCCAACACCACTTCAAAAAGTCTACCACACAATACCCAATATATACAAATACCAAACAGTAACACACATTAAATATACAGGAAAAAGTTTTATATAATAAATTGGTTTAAGTTGACAAAAAGCTTACTGAATTAGGTCATCACATCTTATTTACAATGTAAACTTCATTAAAAGGGAAAATAAATAAGATAATTTCATACTTTGTAATTTAATGGGTTATATAATTGTAATCAAGGTCTTTATGTGACTCAATTAAATTTTCAATATGATGGAACATTTCACAATATTTTACAGAAATAACTACTTGTTGTGCATGCCCACTCGCATACATTACCTTAAGTCTCATATCTTTCTTGGTACAACATTGCTATATTCTTACCATAGTCTTTGATCGCAGCACAGCAAAATTATATATCGTTGCGCGTTCGAGGCTTGCTAGGAATCGCCAGATTTACACAAGTTATCAGCATCTGTCATTATCCCGATTTTATAACCAACTGACGACCAGCATCTACTAATCTGGTTGAGATTGCCGAAGCAGTGTCCAGGCAAATCAAGACACGAGTGCATTGATGGGGAGCACGCTTCACGGATTACAGGCACCTATTACGAGTACATTCTCTACCATCTAGCAACACAGCCTCCAGAGATGTACCAAAAAAAAAAAAGTCGGCTCTCTGCCTGGGCCAGCTCTACGGCACAATTCCTCACAAGAAGCTAATTGCGTCCTGCAGAGCCACTCTACCTTTCCTGGGGACTACAGGATCACGATATATCAGATCTAGGATGCGATGGTTAACGTGAGTTGCTTGTCCTCGGTTAGAAAATTGCCTGAACTCTTAGTTTTCAGCGCCCCATGCCGTTCTAGAGTTGCGTAATTCAGAGCCAAGCGATGATATCTCCTTAGAGTGTTGAACAACAGCAGGCAATCTAGGTGCGCCGAGAGTCTAAAGCAGCGCATAAAAACGCAGAAAATCATAAAGAATATCTTCACAGTATTCACACATATCACCTAAATACTATCCAATTTATTAAACCTATTAAAGAAGATATAAAATCATACCATAAAATGAATATCCTTATGCCACAGCCTGAAATACAACCTATCATTTCCCCTGGTTCACACATTCAAGTAAAGGACATGAGTCCAAATATATGGAACGCAAGAAAATTAAAACCTTGACTAAAACACTGCAAAAGAAACTATGAAAAAACTAGAACACGTCAAACTAGAAACTGCCTGGTGTATCTCCAAATCCTACTAAGAGTGGCAAATTATACATAAACTGATATTGCACAAGCTGCTAGCTAAACCAAGGTTCTGTGAGTGTCA